ATACATTCTAGGTGGGGCAGAGCTGCGGTCAACCCTGGCTAACAGTTTGGTCAAGAACCAGGAGCGTGGTTGGGCGGATGGAACTGTGCGGACTTATGGTGTACAACTTCAGTGCTATGAGACATTTTGTGAGCTAAGTGGACTGGCAGTAGCTCCAACAACACCTGACAATATGTGCTTGTATATAGACTATCTGACAGATCACAAAAAGTTTAAATACTGTACTATTGTGAATTACTTGAATATGCAGATGTTGTGTGGGACAATTGTACACTAGCTCAAAAAAAACTATTAGAATCAATACAATTAGAGGCTGCAAGATTAATTACAGGTTTACGTAGAGGGACATCACATGATAAATTATACAAGGAATTAGGATGGGAAACTTTGAGCTGCAGAAGAAATAAACATAAACTAATTTTAATGTATAGAATAATGAATAATGAAACCCCAGATTACCTAAGAGAAATTATTCAACCATATATTCATGATGAAACCCTTGACAGATATCCCCTCCGAACAAACAGATTATTTGATCCCCCTTTTTGTCGTACTGTAAACTATTTTGAAAGTTTTTTCCGTCCATGCTAAATGAAATGAATAGACTTGCCCCAGATATTACTAACATCCAATCTACCGCACAGTTTTAAAGGTTACTAACTACAAAGCAATATATGAAATCTGAAACAAGTGATGTTTTTAAATACTTTGGCAATCGTGATGTTAACATTATACTTTGCCAATTAAGAAATAATGCTAGTAATCTAAATTATGATCGTTATAAAGATCACTTAATGGAATCTCCAATGTGTGAGTGTAACGGATCTTTCGAAACTGCTGCATATTATTTTTCTGAATGTAATCAATATAATAATATTCGTCAGACTCTCCAACAGAGTTTGAATCATCACACTCACGATCATCTGTATATAAATGTCCTATTAAAATATTGTAATAGTTGTAATGATATACATAATAGAGATATCTTATCTCATGTATCAAACTTTATATCGCAATCAAACAGATTTTCATTAATATAATATTTGACTTACCCTTACTATTTTTTGGAACATAATTATACATTCTTACATTTTTATATATATATATATATATATATATATATTCCAAGTCATATGTTTAAAAGCGTTATACCCCAATTATTTTTTTTATTTTTTTCTTCTTCTTTTAGCTTACATCAAGATATGAAGTAACTCCTTTCAATTTAATTAAAGAATTACTATATTACTTGCAGGAGTTGGTGTTGCCCTACTTACAAATTATATATCTATTTGCTGAAATTGGCTTTTGATCCTTAACAGTGTGTGATGGCTTGTGTGTTATACATATGGACTGTATGGCCTGTATCTGTTGGGGGAATACATCCAATATCACCAAATATTTATACTCAACAGTTTACCTTATATAAATACCAGTAACTCATTGTCTAATACTTGATATTATTCACTGAAGATAATAGTCTAGTAAATATCTCAAATTGAATATCCCTAGTGAAAGGGTTACTATATCTCAAGAATACTGAAAAAGTCTGTTTACATCAAGGAGTTACTTACCCTTATCCCAAACATCATATCAATGTACAAATATATGTCTGTGTTTCTTACCACCTGTTGTCACTTTAAGAAGAGGACTTAGATAGGCTATGCCTGATGTCTGATCCTATTGACTATTGCTTATATTGTCAATAAAATTTGTTGAAATTGAAATTGAATTACTTGAATATTATCAAACATATTCATAAAGCAAAGGGCTATACTCATCCTGTATCAAACAACTGGCTCGTCAAAAACGTTTTGAATGGTGTTAAGGGCACCTGTAATTACGCCAGAGTTGTTAAGGGCAATTAGGATGGGCCTCTATATGGAAGACCAAGTATATCTGTGTATATGGGTAGCATGTCTCATGGGATTTTTCGGTTTATTACGCTCAGGGAACTTCCTTCATTATGGGGAATATGTACAGCACCGAGATATTTGTGTGAGTGATGTGTTATACCACAGACAGGGGTATATTATAGAGTTGTTGTGGACAAAAACTGTCCAACTCCGGGAGAAGCAATTATGTATTGTCATGCCTACTATTATAGGTGATATGTTGTGTCCAAGCACCGCAGTGAAGGCATTATTGCAGTGGCATGTTTCAGTTGGCGCTGAGGCCAGTTACCCATTTTTGTGTTATTTGACCTACGTAATGTTTATTAGCAGAGTAAATAGCATCATTCATTATCAGCAGATCCCTACGCTGATCACAGGCCACTCATTCCGTAGGGGTGGTGCCACTTGGTGTATGTCAGTAGGAATGCCAGAAAGTATGATTAAAGAACTTGGTATGTGAAAGAGTGATGCCCGTCTTCGCTACACAGAAGTCGATGTGTGTCAATCCTGGTCACATTATACTGACTACGGGTGAACCAATTTTTGCCATTACCCTAAATAATGTTAGGCAGGGAATAACAAGTACCATTTTCAAGGACTTTGGTACATCCCTGCCCGGAGAAATTTAAAGATAATTACTTAGGTTTCAAGAAAATATTATGAAGCGACGGACCTAGGATTTTCTTATAGATTTAATATACATTTTTCTTATATTTTTTAGTTAAAGTTGAAAATAAACAGAACAAGAACATCAGAACGTGATGAAGATTTACAAAGAGCATATTTTATATTTTATAGAAAGTATGAGACCGGGAAACGAAGCCGGCTTACAAAGTCCGAAGATTAATCAACGATGTTATAGAATTAAATACTAAATTATTTGGCCGGTTTACACAAAGATCTGGACTGGACAGAATCTGGTTTAAATAAAATCCACATCACATCAAACTTTATTAAATTATTCAGCTTCAATACATTATTACGAGATATCAATTTGGGGCTAGTCCTGCACTTAAGGCGAAACCAATATTTCTGTATTGATCATGCTCAAAATAAAATATTTATTTACTTGTAATCTACAGCTGGACCTGGATCCCCTTTCTTAAAGTTTCGTTCAACACCAGGTCGCCTTACTTTAAGAAAAGTCTAGGTCAGTCGCTGCATAAAGGCACTGCATGTGTTATTAAGTCTAAATTTCGAGTTATCTTTAATTGAGTTATCTTTAATCGAGTTATCATCTCGACATTTCGAGTTAGTATCATGAAAACAATGAAACTATGTTATTTAAAGTGGCCGTAATGCCCTTCCGTACATTAGTGTTATTGTGACGGATATTGAAGTTGCAAACCAGATGAAAGGAATTAAATTAAAACATGTCAAGGTATTAGATGCTGTTTTTCGACACAACAACATGCATATTATGTACGTGTAGTTTCGACATTCAATACCAACATACCCTGTCTCTTGCATACACACACGCATGCATGCATACACTACACACATGGATGCACGTCCTTAAATGACCTTAGCTGTTAATACGAAGTTAAACATTATTAAACCAAACAAAACATTTGTTTGGTCTGTATTTCCTGTGTCTGAAATATCCAAACTATACCTACATAATTCGTGAGACATGTTGTATAAGTACTGGTTCTTCTTCTTGTTCTGGTTCTTCTAATCTTTCCGGGCCATCAAAGATATCTTTATGTCACTTGAAGTATGCTTGCATCACCGACAGATGGTATGCAGTGCACTGGAATAAGATCACTGTGACTTTCACCTCAATGTCAAAGGTCAAATAAATGCAACAATTTTCAGAAAATTCTTGCCCAGCCAGTAAATTTTAAACTGTTAAAGATATCTTGATCAAACTTGAAGTATACCTGCATCACCCACAGAAAGTGTGCAGTACACTGGAATTAGTTCTCGTGCCCTAGTATATACAGAAGACAACTAACATGAACCTGAATAATTGAAAAGTTTAATGGTTTAGAATTTACACACGTTAATCTTGATTTGACCTTTCTATTCTTCCAATTATGCATATTAGCTAATACGGGGAGACCTACGTTTCTGTTAACAAAATAATTTTCTAGTTTGCATGTGGTTTTGACGAAACACAGCATCTAATACATTGCCCCTTGCAAACGCTCTTTCCTATGGGTTTCCTTTTAGTCTTCAAGCTACTTATTTTCTTTGAAATGATGAACCTACTCAAACTCAACATTTCCCTATTTTAGCCCAGTATCTGGTGTAGTCTTCCAGAGAATTTATAAAGATATTAATGCTCAATAAAAAAAACTCCGTAATGGAAAGTTATAATAGCTTTTATAGAAGGGATTAAAATAACTAAGAGACTCATGTAACCCCTGCAGGTCGGGGATCGACAAAAGAATACACCTATGGTTATCTACTGCATGTATAGTAAGAGGCAACTAGTGTTTTAACCTCCTGTATAATTTAGGATTTGCCTTTCTGCACTCTATTTGGCAATACGAAATCGACCAAACTAAGCCTGCCGCACACGTTGCACTATTTGGGATTTTATTTTTTCTCTCTGCTTATAACTACCTTTTATTTAGTAGCGCCTTGCTTTAGAAAGGGAATTGTATCTGTTCCCAAGCCGGGACATACCCAAGTCCTTGAAATGGTTATTGTTATTCCCTGCTTAACGTTCAACAGTTAGGGTGTTTACAACAACAGCTTCTCCCGTTGTCAGTATACTGTGACCAGGCTGAATGCTTTGCATGTTGTCTTCGACATGTTATTTCAGTGAGATAGCACTACAAAGTCGGTATCAGATCCGCGCTATCATAAGGAGGCAAGTGAACAAACATACACTGCCTCCAGCACACATGCACGCTTACACAACACACATGGAACACGTCCTTAAATGCCCTTAGCTTAGTTTAAACATGTTTTATTGACAACATATTGACAAAGGGATTAGTCGGTAAGTTTTTCCAACTTAATAATTGAATTCTCTAGGACTTCTCAATGACCTTAGCTGCTGATAGGACGTAAAACAAAATCGTGACATCCCGTTATGTTCACTTGAGAAGCAAATAGAGCGGTTGATGAAATGTAAACAAAGAAAACATGGAATAATTTATGAGTATTTTCTTATTCTTTTATTTAATATGTCCATATCTAAGGCACACCACACTTTTTTAAATATCTTAGTTCGAAGCAATCCGACATTTTCACAGGCAGCGATAAGCATATTTTCATCCGATCAGTAAGAACGGGTACATGTAGGCTTTTTCTTCGAAATATGGATATTCAAAGTACTTTGTATATAAATATGAGTCCATTCTTTTTGAAGGCGTAGTTAGGTACGACACGCCTCTCGACATTGACCCATTTTCCTTGGGCCTCTAATTTAGCCATGAGTGGTTCGAGACGGTCCTTGTATTCTGGTACATTGTAGAGATATTCCTCTCGCATTACGATCACCACATAGCCACCTATACAAGAAAAAGGCAACTAATGAGGTTTTCATGGAATGCTTCTTAATTAGAACATTGTTTCATCAATACAAGTACATACATTTCAATTAATTCTGACGAATATTGTACATCATTAGCTACTAATGAACAAAATCAATATTTTAAATTGTCATGATATCGGTTAACGAACTATCCTGACTAAGACCAAATTATTGATCATTATTTTGAAATCCTTCATTAGGTCAAGAAGAAAGACGTTAAATCGACATTATAATTTTGAAATGAGAGAAAAGATGTTAACGTATCGATATTCCACCCGGTCCGCGATTACAACGTAGCCACATGTCCGAGAGGAAGACAACTTGCTATGAGGTTATGATAGGATATTACTTAAGCCGCGATCACATCTAACGGTCATGCAAGTTGTTGACCTAAGTGGGGGATGACCGTAGATGACTGTAGTAAACCGAAGGTTACCTTAGTGAACTAGTAAATGTAGTTAGACATAGTTCAACGTAGTTATAAATGTTTGAAGTTTGAACTTCAAGAAAATCATAATTTGGCCGTGGTTAGCCCAAAATTGTTCTAACATATTCAAAATATCTTTACGGTGAGTTGGTATGCAAAGAACCTACTGTGACCGTAATTTGAACGTAGTTGACCGTTATTGACCCTACTTTACCGTAGCGTTTACCGTAGTTGACCGTAGTAATATGGCACTACGGTTAACACTACGGTCAAGTAGGGTCAAGTAAGGAAAGCTATTAGGGTTGGACTACGTTTGAAGTACGGTGAACTAGGGTAAAGTACGGTTAAGTAATGTTTAATTTAGGGTTCGGGAACTACGTCTAATTCGTTTAACTCAGGTCACCTGCGGTCTACTACAGTCAACTATGGTCATCCCCCACTACGGCCAACTACATGCGTGACCGTTAGATGTGACCGCGGCTTTATTTACTACACTGCTTCTGAACTAAAAGATGAAACCGTTGTTGAAAAGGGTTTCAATTAATTTTGAACATGATTCCGTCTCGTTTAGAAGTAAACAAAATGAAAAATTGAAATTATGTTTACTCTTTCGTTATTAAAAAAAAAAAAATGAAATTAAATCGGCATTATAATTTTGGCGTAAAAAAAAGAGTAAATTACTAAATCAAAATAACAGGGATGTTTAATTGTACTATATGATTATATTATTCTTTCTTTAATTTATTCAAGATGACTTTTGATTGAGATCTCTTATTAATATATTATACACATTTTTTACTGAAGATGTTTCTGTTCTTATATCAAAATACGTTCAAACGTAATAGATATATCCTGCTAAACGCGTCTGCTTATATGTTTTCAATTAAGAATTCCAGCTAATTGTTTGTATATATACCATGGATACATTACGAATTACATTAAACTTAATGAAGTATGTCAATGTTTACCTGATTTCACTATACGGATTATTTCATAAAGAGCCTCACAGGGGATATGACCGTCTCCCATTCCTCCTGATGACGTCACACAGTTATAAAAACCTGTGTAAATACGCCAAAATAACATTTACTTGATTTCTTTGCCAATGTTTTAACAAACTGAAGTACTATAAACGATAATGCTGCAGTGATATATATATTAATTGTTTGAATTTTCCTTTGTTTGATAATAAGGTGATACGTACTGTCAGGTACCGGAAGTTTGTCTTCAGTTAGGTATTCGTTCAGGAAAGTTTTATAGACTTGTTTTCTCTTCGCTAATTCTAACATTCCTTCTGAAGGGTCCAGAGCGTGGATATCGCTGAAACCCTTTTTTGCAAGCTACAACCACGTATAAACATATTTTCATTCCAAATTCTATTGCTATATTCAAAGACTAGAACATCAAATATATTTCAATCCGTAATAGAACATTATTCATCGATTTAATTATCTTTAAACATGAAACGCAGTATATATTGCATGTACACTTGCTATCAATTCAATTTGCTGAAAATATATTAGAATTGATCTATAAACAAGTTAAGAAATAGTTTAAAGCGTACCAGTTCACCAACCAATCCGGTTCCGGCTGCCACGTCTAGTATCCGCACATTTTGTCTGTCCTTCTTTTTGAAGTATTGCGCACATGTTTCCGCGGCCATCATTGGTCCGTCATATCTCCCAGGAGCAAGGTCCTATGGTTAACATAAAATTATGAATAGATATTATTTATAGAATAATAAATTGGAATAGTGATAAAAGATAGTAGTTTAAAAAAAGGAATAGTTCCGAATGCACACTTGTACTCTTTGTATTTGTGATCCGCCATTTATCGTGGACCGCGAATGAGGGTTAACGTGTAATTTTCCTCAATATGAGTTGTATACACTTACTTCTATTTTTTCCTGTTTTAATAACTTTGTTAACTTTCTTCTATACTACATTTAACACGAATATGACCTTATACATTAGAAATAGATGTCTCTGAATTATTTACTTCCAACATGTTTTACGCTATCTCGACATGATTGTCTAACTCGCGCATGTGCTAGGTGTTGTAAATAAACATTGCGGTGCTCCAACTCCTGAATAGTCTTGCTCCAGTAAAAATTCAATTTTTATATCGAGATCCATCGTAAATGTGAGGAGCAGATGAAAAAATCAGCACGTGCAGATAAAACAGTCCTAGCGAGTAAATGTTCGTGTTAAGACTAGAAATAGCTGTTTTGATTCACATACTAAAAATGTATTATGAAAGGTGGGGTCAACATTTGGCCCCCACTTTGATTTCTTATATTCTTTTGCCATATGTAGATACATACAAATGATCAATAATTGCATAAATGATTATTCATAATTACTACTGAAAACCGTAGTGGACCTCCTTGCATAACACCAGGTTGAGTACTGGGGGTACCCTCACAAAATGATAGATAAATGTCACAGGCGAATACTATTTTGAAAATGAATTATGATAGTGTACAGTGTATAAAATTACTGTTATTTCTATACTAAATATGTCATATTGGTATATATGAAGTAAGCGTAGTGATACTTTTATTTAGAAAAACATGCAAAATTTTCAAAAAAAATTAAAAGATCATCAACATTGTGAACTTGCCTTTATATAGTTACAGTGCTAGTCTATATTTTAAACTTTTTTAAAAACTTTCCATATACGTATTTTGTCTACTGAATCATTTTTAAGCAATATAAAAACTGGTAAAGTACTTTATTAGCATGCCAAACATGATCAATGCCCAATTTCACACAATCTTGAAGATTTGATTATCAATGTTTATTATGGTAAAACCGATACATTTTCTGTTTTTGTATCATACCAAAACACTTTATTATATTACGCATGTTTTAAAGTTATGTGCAGCAGTTATAACTCATAAATATGTATTCTGCCAAAGTAATCTTTCTTCTGAAGAACAACTTAAGGTTGAGATTGTGTTATAGACAACGATATGCAATTATATAAAAATAATCAAATAGTCTTAATAGTAAAACTATTATACACTTTATTATACCCCCTGCAACAAAGTTAGGGGGTATACTGGAATCAGCTTGTCTGTCTGTCCGTAGAAAAAAGATTGTCCGGACAACTCCTTCTAAAGTAATGGACCAATTTCAGCGAAAGTTTCCTGATATGATAAGTACCGACTCAAGTTATGCATACAGGTATTATGTTTTCATTCTGATCATTTTTACAGAGTTATTGCCGTTTGATGAAATATTTTTGTCGAGACAGGTTCTCCAAAACTAAAGGGTCAATTTCAACGAAAGTTTTCAGATATAATAACTTCCACCTGATGGTGTGTATCCAGGTATATTTTTTTTTCGATATGACCCTTTTTAACAGAGTAATGGATCTTTGTTGAAAAATACTTGACCTGACAACTCCTCCAAAACTATGCAGCCAATCTCAACGAAAGTTTACAAATATGGTAACTGCCCCCTGACATAGTGCATCCAAATAGTATGTTTCATTCCGAACCTTTAAAAAGGAATAATGGCCCTTTGTAGAAAAAGAACCCTTGTCTGCTTCATAAACTACGGGGCCGATTTCATTGAATGTTTGCAGATATGGTAATTACCCCCTGATGTCGTGCATCAAGGTACGTGCATCGGGGTAGTACTTTTTTCATTTCGACCCTTTTTTAGGAGTTATGGCCCTTTGCTAAAAATCTTTGTCTTGACAACTCTTCCTTAACTACTAGGACGACTTAAGCAAAACTGGTTCATCGGGGCTAACAAGATTTGGTATGGAAGTATGTTTTGGCATGGGGAGGGAGTACAGGAAGTACTGCTTGACATATATTCTTAAATATTTACTGGGGGGGGGGGGGGGACTATGTATTGCTTTGCAATGCTTTGCCTTAGTTAGCCTTTAGCTTACATTCTGGGTTAGATAGGAGTGGGGATATTAGTTAGTCTTTGGCTTACAGCTCTAGTTATTAATTTATTTGGCCTATTGCCAATTCATTAACCAAATATGGAGAAATATTACATTATTTCATATCGTTAACTCTGAACAAATAAAGGTATCCTTGTCCGACTTCCCATACAAAAAAATATTTCAGCACATTTTATATTTGTGACCTTGAGCAAAGATCAAGGTCATCAACGTTTACAAAATTTAAATCAATTCACATGAACAACCTACTTGCCAAATATCAAGACCAAAGGACTTTTGGTCATGAAGAAACACAAGTTAAAGGCAAAATGGAGAGAAAGTTATGTTTTATGACAAATTTACAGGTTGTCAATTTTCTTGAAATTCCTGATGTTGAAAGATATTATTGGTAGCCAACTTTTGAGCAAGTATAAAATATAGACTGGTTTTAGAACTATGTAAATTAACGTGTCGAAAATAGAAATTTTCTCATTAGTAATGAAATTTCCCATATTTTTCTGCTTAAATCTTATAAAAAGAACAATTCTTTCTTGAAATAGTGTAAGAATAATATTCGGCATCAAAATGAAAGTTGGAATATATATTGCACACGATGATGATATAATTTTATAATAATTATTTTATTTAAATGCTCTAGGAGGAATTGTGTTACCGTACCTTTAACACCCACACAGGTGTAAGTCAATGAGATCCCGTTTATCCTAAAATGAATTCTGAAACTAACGGTTCCTTACTTAAGCTTCCTATACCCATACCTTTTTGTAGTTATCTTGTTTTTAAATTCCAAGCGGGGGCCGACGCTAATGTTAAATCTCCATAGGCGTTCACCCCACCTTTCCATTTTTAATCATTCCTTTTAACTTTTGCGATGATGTTTAAATCGTTTAATGTTTTCTTTTGTGCCTACCTTTTTTGTTTGTTTCCGTTTCTTTTTATCATTTTAAATTTATTTTTGTATCGATTGGGTTTTATTATTATAATAATTATTTTCCTTTAATTTCTAATCTGATTTTATCAAATTAAGGTTCTATCATTACAATCACTGGTTGTTTCTGTTTCACTATTTTTGCTGTCACGAGTTATTGCCGCTATCATCTTGTAGATTTGTGGAGATATTTTCTTTTTCAGTGCAGACGCTATTTTCTCGGATTAATTGGACACTTTTTATCGTTTTGCCCATAAATATTTAACTGAGGCTTGCTAAAAACTTTCATCCGCTATTGGAATTCTAAATTGACCAAGTGTGACCGACTGCAATGCTTGCCATAATAAACCTGAAATACACATTTGTGTATATCACTGCAGTGCTGAACAAGAGTTAAAGGGAAAATATAAAAGCAACTTAAATCAATTTTTGCGCTTTGTAAAATTAAAAGCATGGCTAGGCACATTGGATGACACCCCATAGTGATACTTCAACCGTATAACAGTCAGCAGGCTTTCGGCTGTGGTGATTCAATACAGCTTGAATAAACACTTTCTCAAACACTAAATATAGCTTGGCAAATTGTTTTTGCTGGGGGTAAGGTCATTAGAGAGTTTAAAAATGCTGATAATAATAACTGCAAAATAATTTAAAAGCTATTGACAGAAATATCTTACCTCTTCATACTGATACGCCCACTCGGAGTAGTACTGTATGATGTCGTGTTTTTCCATGCTGCCGTTGAAAACCGACGCGTTTGTATTGTAAGCGGCGTCATCTTCCTCCTTTAAATCCTCCATTTTTGTCCAACAAATACAATGGGACTGTTTTTGAAAAAAGCGATAAAACATGCATACTATTTCGATAGCTACATTGTAGTAGGCTTGGAAAAGCTACACTTTATGTCGACTTCATGAGTTATGAGTATAAGCGAATGAAGTATCCAATATAATAAAAATATTTTCCATAAAACGATTTCGTTAAACACTGTAGTGTAGCCTGTACGTTGAAAACAGTTGGGACTGTTTAAAAGATTGCGGTTGCCAAAACTAGTACAAGGTGAGTTCTCAGTACATGTTCGGTTTTTTGTACTTGAAAACTTTTTAGCGATCGACTGATGCACTGAAGCAAAAGACAATAGACCAGAGTGTTATAAATTGCCTAAATTCCACTCCAGAAAATAATCTATATTAAAGTACAGTGTTTGCACTGTGACGGAAGCTGGCAATTAGGACGTTCAGTCGACGAAGAGTTTGAACTTACTTAAAAAACAGGTTCAAAAATGTTTTCTTAATATTTATGGACCCATGATATAGGTTAAGAAGCCTTTAAAGATTATGTCCTATTAACAAGAAATATGCATTATAATGCAAATGTGCAAATGCGATCTGGATTTATATTTGTGTGTTTTGGACATCCGTAACCTCCGACTGTGCTCGGTTGTGACATTGGATGCAAAGTTGTAAAATTGTACGGAGGGCACTACATATTCGGTTGGGACTTCCATCACTTAAATGTGTGTTTGTCTTTATAATTTCAGGTACAAATAACCACATTTTACCAATGGAGCTGCACTACTTTGACGAATGTGGCTTTGGGGATGAAAATTTGCAGAATATCATTGACAATTCATGCTCATGAAAAAAAACATACAGAAAAAACGAACATGTTATGAGAACTCACCTTCTATATGTTTTGGCAGCCGCCGTCTTTTAAAAAGTCCCAACTTTTCTCAACGTACAGGCTAAACTATAGTGTTAAAGGTAAAATTATACTAAAATGACGCCGCTGCAGTTAGAGCGGCTAATATCATAGAATCGTCATTTAATGAATAGCTTGGCTTTGATCAATACATTCAATAATAAATGATATAATATCTAACAGAACAGAGGTTAAATGTTATTTAGGTATGAATGATATAACACCTAGAAGCTATAAGTTCGTGTATAAATGTGTGTTTGTATAAATGTGTGTTTGTGTTTGTCGTGTATAAATGTTTGGGAGAAAACACATTTCATCGTGGTTTAAAGCTTTCTTACTTTAACGTTAAACATTACGACGATAAATTATATACAAATTATTGTGTGTACCTTTAAATAAAATACAGCTACCTACCTGTATACTACTTGTATATTCCTTAATCGAGCCGACGCATTTTTTAACAATTCATGTCGTCTTAAAGATACATAATATATATATGTGTGTGTGTGTTTGTTTGCGGAACGTACGTACCTGTCAGTGAACCAATAAGACAGCTCAGATTGAAAGCCTTACCTACACATATGCTATTGCTATCGCAAACTGCAGTGCACAATCGAAAAATGAATAACCGACACATATTTCAGAATTATATTCAAAACCGGTTTTAAACATATTCGAGATAACTTTCGAGTCCCGGATATCAAAATTCTTTTCAGTTCCGTGGACTCGAAGGCGTTATTTAACCACATTGTATTTGAAAGACACCGGTCTATTCTATAGACTCTGATGCCTTTAAACCAATCTTACCCTATTTGACGTGATATATATCACATAGTCCATATCATCTATTCGTTATCTTTTTTTTAGGTCACATGAGAATTCTCAGGAGACCTATTGCGATCGCCTTGTGTCCGTCGTCGTGCGTCGTCCGTCGTTTGTCCGTAAACAATTTACATTTTCAACTTCTCCAAAAACCCTGAACTAATTTCAATGAAATTTTGCAGAAACCTTTCATGGCCAAAGGTCAACCAAAATTTGGTTTGATGTTTTTATTTAGTATTTGTTTTTGTCGACCATTTGTTGGCCCTAATGACCTATTCTGTGTTGATTGGCCGTTAAACATTGATAATAGTAATAACAATAATAGAATCGTCCTCCGATGTAAATATTTACGTAAACAGTGATTTGTCCTTCTGTCTTCAACATAAATTGGTAGAGAATTGTATTAAGTATATATATGTAGCTGATGCCAAGAATCACACAGTCAGAAACATTGAAACAAATCAGAATTATATAGGAGGTGTGTAGCTCCTGAACCCTAGCTACTGCTATATGGACCAGTGACCCTTACGTCCCACTTTGACGTCACAAGTATCACGTGACCTGTAAGCTCAAAAAAATGCTTGCCAGTAAGGAGCGGTCACCTTTGATTGCCTATATTTAGATAACGGGACACCTCTGAACGCGCGTTGATGAATGATTCGGTATTTATTTAATTATATTACAGGTTTCGCTTATTTTTACAAAATGTAAAAAAATCGTTGCCAAAGTTCCTTATGCAATATTAATCGTACTTGATTATTGGCTACTCGATCGGTAGATTGTTCGAGTAACCAGTTACAAAAATAAGACAGGATTGACAACCCTAGTAGTTTGGCATTGCGATCATTTTCTGATGCATCGCTTGCGACTGCTGGGCTGGTATCGACACCTTATGGTGTAACGGTTCCTGTTACGAGTAGATACTGTTATACTTTATAATAAAAAAGGAAATGTATGTACCCTTCAAGAGCAATGATTTCACATCTGATTTACTAAGTTCATTATGTGTAAAAATTCGTGTTTTTTGTTTGACGAACAACAATCATGAAAAGAAACTTGTAAATACTTTTTTTTTAACAACCATCAAACATTTTGGAGAAACACAATCTTTACTGGACAAATGTGCAGGTAAACCATGTGTTTGGCAATTATTAGCCATTTGTTGAAAACACAGTCGTTTAAATAAGCCGCGAAAATAATTCAATGAATTGAGGAAATCAATGTAAGGCTTCATTGTAAGATCTCAAGAATATTGACACTTGGTAAGCTACATTTAATAGACAATGGCACATGAAATAACCGACAATAAATTTACTTTTTCCTACGATTAGCCTTTGTTTCTTGCATCTGTACTCATCTCCAAGTCTATTTTCAAATTTTATCCCCAACAAATATTATTATAATCACTTAATGCAGCAAAGTATAATTCCTGTCCTTAGTTTATAAATGGTTTATGTTGTTTGGTTACAATTTAGCACAGACAAAATTGTACATGTATGTAACATAACGGACATACACGTCGTGGTGTCGTAAAATGTAGTACCAATTATTGGGAACAAGGTCAATACAGTGTCCGAGACAATACCATTGTACATGTATGTAACATCACGGACATACACGCCGTGGTGTCGTAGTACCAATTATTGGGAACAAGGTCAATACAGTGTCCGCGACAATACCATTGCATTGTTTGTCTCCATCGGGATTTTTTGCTTTATTTTCATCTTAGGAACTTCCTAACACCTTGAACTTTCCTTACCTCAACAACTGACACGAATCGATCACATGAACACGTTTATAGCATGTTCTATACTATTTTGAGTGTAATGTAGTTTAAAACAGTGTGATAGTACGTTTAATACCCTGTTACGAAGATTGTACCCTTTTAATGTTTAATGATATTGAATCCTTTTAAAATTATTTCGGCGTAAACATGTGATAAGTCAGACGACAGGTAAGACATCGCGCGAAAACTGCACAGTCATGATACTAGAAATGTAATTAGCCAAAAAAAAGTGTATGTAATTGAAGAACCAGCATTTTGGGCCACACAATACAGTCTTATATATTAAGATGTCCTTTGAGTCAGACCAAAAGGGTATATCATATGTGGTTATGGGGAAAATGATATTTTTTTTCCAAAAGGTTTAGAATTGAGGGCAGGTTCTGACCCCACCTGAGTGTGAAATTCCATATCCAAAATGCCTAGCTAATGATAGGCCCTTTTCCTTACATATCTTTACCGGAATTTCGGTATATGAAATTTTAGTGAATGCAATAATTGATTGATAATTTAGAAGTTTTAAGGGTGCGGTAGGCAGTTTAAGGCCTTGGAAACATGCGACGACCAAAGGCCTTCGCCAGTCCTCTATCGAGAACATAGCCATGTCATCACTCCGATAAGGATAAAAATACCTTCGAAATTGCTAATAATAGATCAAGGAGCATTCAAAAACATTAAAAATACTCGGTTATAAATACTCACAAGTCGATTTATTAAGAATTTAAATAATATGAGTACATTTCAAACTGTCTTGAAAAGTATATTTTTGTATGGAAAAAAATCGAGAGTTATAAGATGCTTGAATAAAGGAACCAGACCGGGGTCCGTATAGTAAACGTATATGTTTTTTTGTAATTCTTTCCCTGTCTACTTCGCAAAACGGAAGGTAAAAGGCCCGTATTTATATCTGAATCAAGGACAGGAATCGAACCCACAACCTTTCACACGAAAGTTAAGACCACCATAACCTCTATAAAGTAATTGGTCTTATACGGAACTGAGTGTCAGACTCCAGTTACGTTTTACCTTAAACGGAACTGGGAACCAGACCCCAGTTCCGTATAGTAAACGTTTACGGTTTTTGTAATTCTTTCCCCGTTTGATTCGCAAAACGGAAGGTCAAAGACCCGTTTTTATATCTGAATCAAGGACAGGAATCGGACCCACAACCTTTCACACGAAAATTAAGACCACCATAGCCTCTATAAAGTAATTGGTCTGATACGGAACTGAGATTCAAACTCCAGTTACGTTTTTACTTAAACGGAACTGGGAACCAAACCCCAGTTCCGTATAGTAAACGTATACGTTTTTAGCTCACCTGCCCGAAGAGCAAGTGAGCTTATGCCATGGCGCGGCGTCCGGCAACTTTTCTAAAAATTGCTACTTGTCATAAACGACTGAGCAGATTTCTACCAAATTTTGGTGCCACGCATGTGTGAGTAGAGCTCTAGAGATCCTGAAGCGTCTTCAAATATTACCTCTAAAATTAACCTATAAAGTAAGCGACATCAGAAGATGTTATTCTACAGGGGCTTGGTTTCAGGATACTTTCGGTTAGTATTTTCCGGATACTTTCGGTTAGTAATAAACCTATACACACCAGTAAATAACAGCAACATTTTTTTT